CTCTGTTGGAATAGTCAATGAAATTTTACAATGACAGCTATACAAATAAGGTATCATTTGGAATTTTCAGTTGATGTCTTACCGTTGGATTTTTCATTGCAATGTGCCATTTTCTTTATTCCTTTATATATTATAATTTTTATGTAGGAGTTTTTGTTATTAACTAATTTTATTTATAATTTTTCTATTAAAAATATATTAAACACATGAACTTTTTAATCCATATATTTTTTTTAGAAATCGCTCATTATTTTATCACAAGGTTACCTATTATTTTATCACTTGAGTTACATTTTTTGCACATTAAATTTTAAATAATGAAAAGTATTATTGTATATATATATATATAATATGGTACTTATATATTATATTAAAAAAAAACTAATAGCAAATAAAACGTTATCTAAAATCAAAATAATTAATTTTTTGAAGAAAAATAAATTTCTAACCTACATGGATAAAAGCATAAATAACTATTGTCTATCATCTAAAATTTATATACATAAATAATAAGCGAAAAAAAATTAACATGCGGTGAACAATTTGGCTCGTTTACATCGATAAGTACAAATTTTAAAAGTTCTATAATTACTTTTACGTATTACAATATTTTTATTTATTACTTTTTTAATAATTATTAGTAAGCGTTACAACTTTATTATAAATTTAATATTATTTATCTGATTTAATGTTTTTTTTTACTTATGTGTGTGTGTGTAACTTTTAGGTTTGTTAAAAAATACATAAAATTAAGTATAAGCACTTTTTGAATCATATGTCCTATTTATCTCAATTGATTTTATATCTTTATATTATAGTATATATAATTATACTCTTCTCATTTTTACTCAAATATAAAATTTTTTATTTCGTACATTTTTTTTTTTAAAAAACAACATGTTATTATAACAACACATATTAATAAATAGATGAGCAATGATAATATATGAATATAATTTTTTGATAAAAAATAATTAATTTTCAACATGTGGCATATCATGATTCTCGAGATATTTTCAATTAATTTGTAGATAATTATATGGTCAAAACTAATCCATGTTGCTAAAGTGGTATCTCATTCGATGTGAAAACAAATAGATTAAGTTTTAGTATTGTACAATTTCATAAAATTATTTTGATCTTATGTAGCAAAGAAGTTGAATAGATTAGAAGTTTATGTTGCATAACAATCATTCAACAATTACTTTCGCATACTATTACACATTTTTTATAGGTTATTTTGAAAATAATGTTTCTATACTTTGTTGTCGTTATGAGAAAAAACAATATCGATTTCTAGCTTTATAAGTGTATATTACGTTTTTTTTTGTTGGATCAGTTTTAATTTCTTTAAATAACTTTTATATATTAGATTTATGAAATGTGATTACCATTTTTCCATTAAAATTATAATAAAAATAATGACGTTTTTTAAAACAACAATTCTATATCCTATCAAGCCGTTTTAGAGATATGTGGAAGAAAACAAATTCGTGAGAAATAATGGTGTCTTTCACACTTTTTGGAAAGGCTCTTCCCGGTTATGGTTGATGATTCCCAATGATGACTTCTAGTAACAAGCGCATGTGGTGCAGGAGACAGGGGAACAAAGGTAAACAGAGGTTGTCGATCCAACGAACGAAGCAAAGCGAAGTGAAGTCATAGAAGCTTCTAGTATTACTTAAGTAAGAAAAAATACATAAGCACGAGAAATAATGGTGTCAACATATTGTAGTTGATTTTTGGAGTGTGGAATGATTTGTTCATGTATTTGTATTTAATTAATTAATATTAATTATTAATTAAAAATATAGGATATAATGGACATTAGTATAATACTAAGTTGCCACTAAAAACATGTCAAAGTAAGAATTTTTTAGGTAGTTCATTTTTTAATTAAAAATATAAAATATGATGTGTATTAGTACATTACTAATTTGCCATTAAATTTATATCAAAGTAAAAATTTTATAAGTAGTTAATATTTTTACAAAAACACTCGTCCTTTTAAAATAGTATAGATAGATATAGATAAAATTTTCAAAATACAATAAAAAAGTTCCAAAAGTGAGAAGCTTCATTCAGTATTTACAATGAGAAGAACACATAGACTGCATAAAAAGTTGGGCAGCTCCAACTTTCATTTCAGTCCCTTCTTATTTACTTACACTCATCTCATTCTTGCTCAATTTTCAATATAAACAGAAAAGCTCCCTCAAGCTTTTATCTTTTATCAAAAGCCAACAAAGCCCCAAATAGAGGCCACATATTGCCCTTTCCCTTTTTGTTCATGATGTCTTGGACCAGGCATAAAGTAGGACACCTCTTGAGATCTAAATATGTCCTCAACCTCTCGTGCCGGCATCTTGAAGGCCAGCTCCTTGGCCTCCGGCTCGACCTCGTTCCATATGTTCTCTTGTCCTAATTGCAACACACAAATCAAATTATTGGCAATAACAAGAGTTAAACGAACACATAAAGATCTGCATTTCTTCTCATTATTATGTTGACCTGAGCAAATACTTAAGTAAGAATCCTTTGACAAATTATTTGTTCACACGTACCGGCTAAGAAATGTTTTTGATCAAAGGAACCCTTGATCCCGAAACTAGCTAATTGCAAGTTGGAGTGTTGGGAGGCCACTATGGCTATTGGATGACCTGCCGGGATGACGAAGGCGTCCCCTATAGATAAACGGGCACTAACCCTTCCATAACGTACGCCTTGTGAATTGTGTTTGCTTTGTTCCGAAAGATGAGGGCATGCCATTTCGTATTGGCCGCTGCCTCCCACCACAAACACGAGCTTCGTGGACCTCGAATTGTAGTAAGGTGCCACCATCCCACCCTACAATATTCCAACAATTTCATTATTTATAGGTGGGCAAAAAAAAAAAAAAGGAAATTGTTCATGGTGGTAAAGAGTATAGATTATGTAATAATAGTGTATTTACTCACACTCTTGATGTGCATGAAACCGACCGATACATCCAAATCTTTCAGTTGTCGATGATTAATTGGTGAGGCCTCAAAGTATTGCCCGTAATTACTCGAGAACAAGGGCTGTTGATGGAGAAGACTAAAGGGGCGGCCCCAAGAACCCAACTCACTTGTTCCTCCGGTGGATTCGGATTCTTGGCTCAATGATCTGATTTGCTCTTTCGAGGCCTTGATTATCACCCCTTGCTTTTGCTGTCCGAAGAGCTTCTCCAGCCTCTCACTTGGACTCTAAATATGATTGATGGAAATACACAGTGCACATAAGTTTATAATTTTTTCCCCCCTTATAAATTCGAAACATTAGAAAATCTTTTTCCTAATTAAATACTTACATTAAAGGCAGCTTCAAGTATCTCACTGCTGAAGATTCTGAAGAATGAGTCTGCCCCAACACCAAAGTATTCCTACACAAAAACATTGTGAGACTGACTTAATTATCATACTTAATAACTTTATCAAACAATATTCAATAAGGGAAAGATGAGATTATATTAACGACAATACCTTAACACGGCCAGGTGTATTCACCGGCTGCAAGAGCTTCAAAACATATAACCGCTCGTCGTCATCTTGATTCACCAAGTACATGAGAGAACCCGAAGGCACCCTCATTACATCGCCCCGCTTCAAGTTGAAGGAATACCTCTTGTTTTGCCAAACATAGCTTATAGTTCCTCTTCCTGAAAAACGAGAAGGGAAAGTACAAAAAACAGACTATTGTTCAAATCCCACCACCCGTTTAAACTTATAGACACAATCTTCTCTCTGTCGAAACACTCTCATTTCTTGTTATTAATTAGCCTTCACATTCGAATCGACTATATTATTCAATACATGTAGTAAAAGAAATATAATAGTTTTACCTCCAACAACAAAAAGGATTGACTCGGCATCACAATGATGAGGAAGGACGAACGTATTGGGATTTGCCTCGAGAATGGCCAAACGGTAGTTTTCGACTCCTCTGAGGAGCTCCGACTTGTCGGAAAACCTCTGAAGAACTTTGATGTGTCCATGTTTAGTTTTGTACTTGGACTCAAATCTCGAGTGGAAGAAGTACGGATTATCGCCATCATCTTTTCCGTCAAATTTCTTCTTGGAGTTGAGCGCGTCTTCTCCGCCTCCGTGCCCTTCGTGTTCGCTTTTCTGTTTCTCGTATTGCCATTGGCATTTTTGCTGGCAATATTGCCTTTGCTGTCCGTGTTCTTGTATCGCGCATTTGCTTTGGCACCTCTTGTATTGTTCTTCGGGTTGATGGTGGTTTTCTGTAATTGCAATTCAATATTAATATTCAACCAATAACACTTTACTGAAATATTACACTTGAATTGTACTCTGCTCTTGCATCACATGTACCTTAGTTTTAAACAATAGTAGTCCAATTAGAATCAAATTGATCAGTAGCCCGTGAGGAAAACAATATCCATGATTAAAAACGGTATAATTATTTTATTTCTGGCTTAAATTTCCTCACCGGCTACTGATCAAATGTACCTTAGTATGTTTTAAACAATATCCATGACGTTTTTATTTGAACACACGTGAATAAAAGGTGAGAAAAAGTTAATGATGCCGTAAACAAAAAGGTACCGCGGCTGCCGGGCTCTTGTTGTCTCTTGGTATCCTGATACTCTCTGACGCATCTCTCTTCGCAAGGGCTCAGCTCTCTGTCGTTCTGCTTCTCGCACGACATCAGGCACTTGAACAGTCTCTCTTCTGGAGATTCTTCTTCTTCTTCTTCTTCTTCTCGACGTCCCTCCTTTTCCGGGTTTCCATTGTAGCAGTTTGCGCCAAAGAGTAGAAGGGAAAAGCTCAGCAGAAGCAGCAAAACGATCAATTTGGTACCCATTCTCTTTTATTTCTCACAAATTTTCCTCTCTTTATTGTTTTCTTCTTACCGTTGGAAAATTTGGGAGTGAGATCAATAGCTATTTATAGGTGGAGGGGAGTGTGCTGTATCATTAGCCGTATGGCATGCATACTAGACACGTGTAATTGTAATGCACACGTAGGCTTTTATGTAAAATGTAATAAATTAAACTCGTGTATTATGCAAATTAGTACATATCCCGTGCAATGCACATGTTGCACAATTTTAAAGCTATTTATCCAGCCTTATAATTATATAAATGAATAAAGAAAAATGTACGGAATATATATATTACGGGACCTGTATTTGGGGATTATTATATTATAAGATGCAATATTCAGTAAAAGTTTTACAATACACAAAAATAAATATAAATAATGTAAATATCTAAATACATACACGATATGTAGAATAAATAAGCCAAATTTGCAAATCTGAAAATATAATTAAAAAAAATCGAAAATATATTTCACTAAACATGTACAAAAATATCTAAATGCATACACAAAAAAAAAAAAATAAAAAAAAAATATACGTTTCAAATTTTGAAATTAAAACAAAAATTCAAATAATTGGCTTAAAGTTTTATCATGCAGAACCAACGAGATATGATTTGTATGTGCTGCCCAGTCTTGGAAAAACATTCTCACAATTCGAACTTTGAGCATAGGTCTATTAGATCTATTTACTTGTTTGATTAACCATCCTTGATTCATTATTTTGAATAAAAGACTGATTGGAGATATTTTTTATTCGCAGGAGGTTGACAGTGAAGAAGATGATGGCTCGGCCATTGTCGAACCGCTCAATAACCCATCTAAGATTGATACAAGTGTTCATCTCTATTTCTAGATCCGGGTCACCGGGTTCACCTTTAGCTCCGAGGTCGGCGGTTGTTCCGATATGCTTATTACCGAGCTGCTCAAAATCGGCTGCAGTAGCTTCCTTCCCAGCTAATACACCGGCGTCATACCTCAACTCGCCGTAAACCTTCTTTTCTTCCTCAAGTCTCGCCACCTCGGTCAGATGGGCTTCCCGAGCTCGGATTAAGTCTGCTTCTATTTCTGAACGACTCCTCCGTGTCTCTTGATGCTCGGCTTTCTCTTTCATCAACTTTTCATTAAGCCCTTCCACCTGGACTTCGATTGCCTTGTGACTCTGTTCAACAAATGCCAAACGACTCCTCAGTTCTTCAACCTCGGTTTTGCAGCTTCGTTTTCTCAAGGACTAAAGACACAATCTCACTCTGGGCGACCTCAATCTGCACATCTTGTTCGGCTAACTTCTCTTTCATGGCTGCTTCTGATTTCGCCATCTCTTCAAGCAAAGACGCCATTTCACCATCCCATAGAGAAACCGTGTGCTTTTTATATTCCTATTAATATTTTTATTAGAAAATATGAATCTGAATATATAGAAATCGGTTTGAACAAAATCAGAACATATTTCCATACAATTAGATAATAAATCAAGCCTTTTTTATTTTAGTAAAGATTTTACGTACTTTTTTTTTTTTACTTATCGGATGTTATGGGGATTGTTTTGTTAAACTGATTTTATGGGATATAATACTAATACAATTAGAGGATTGAACAAAATTTGAACAGATTTCCATACAATTAGATAATAAGAAGGAATTAGATAAGGAAAAGAATGAATTAAATAAGAATTTTGAATCTGCATTTTTTTAGTATAGAGAGACTTTACGTACAAATTTTGACTTCGCCGATTTTATGGGATTTATTTTGACAAAATCGATGTTAATATGGAATAAGACAAATAAATAAAGCATTTTTATTTTAGTAAAGATTTTACGTATTTTTTTTTTACTTATCAGATGTTATGGGATTTTTTTTTCTTAAACTGATTTTATGGGATATAAGACAAATAAATAAAATAATTAAATAAAATTCTGGATAGAAATAGCAATGCATTAATTACGTTGACTTTTTAACCTACTAAATTTTGTAAATAGGATACCTTATTATATAAGTATAGATGGTTGTTGATAAATCTATATTTAAAATTAAAAAAAATTAAAATAATGTTTATATTTGTAAATACTTTATATTTGTAAATACTTTAAAATAATATCCGTCCACTTGACTTATCATCTTATATTATGATATTTTTTAACATATATATATATATTACTGTTAAATTAATTTAATTTTTTTATCAATTAATATTAAATGTATATTTATTTTTTATTATGAAAATAATATAGTTATTTGTTTTGTATATACAATATAGATGTCTAATCAAAGCTCATTAAGACATAATTAATTTCATATATTGTATAAAAAGATAATATTTCGGTGACATTTACAAAAGAACACTATTATATTGCAAGAGACAAAACGCACGTAAGGACGACGTCCAATTGGCCGAGTTTATCCGACAACCTCAATACAAAGCGGGTGAACCAGTAGAAAAACGATGTCCGCGAAGATACTTCGGCTCGTCGACATTAATACCTTTATTACAAGACAAAAACGATCTCTACTCGCCAATGATATCCTTTTTACAAGACAATTGGTGATCGCCTCAAATATATTTCGGCTTATATATAAACTAGTATAACACCTGTGTATTACACGGGTGCTTGCTAATTTTTTTCTTAAAATATAAAATTAATGAGAAAAAGTAGTTGAAATTTTAAATACCTTTTACAAACATATATATTATTATATATTTAGTATGACAATTTTTTTGTGCGACTTACATGTGTCATATTATAATAATTTTTTAACTTACAACATATATTACAATAAAAATAAATATATCAATTGATAAATAATTTTATTTTTCTAATAAATTTTAATAAATATTATTATTCTTTATTATTATAAAGATAAATATAATTTATTTATTTCATATATACAATATGGATGTCAAATCGAAGATAATCAAAAGATAATTAATTTGATATATAATATATGTAAAATCGATAAGAAATACAAAAGTTATCAACTTTTAAAATACATTTACAATTAAATAGCTAATTGATGGAACAAATCAAAGTCAGGGATATATTAGTCACTTAGTGCCTCACTATGTAAAATTACAAATAATTAAAGTGTTATATTAGTACAAATGATATTAAAATTACCTAAGTTAGATAAATAATATTTATGGAATGTCCGAACCTAGATTATTAATTATTAATATATCAATATTATTTGTCCAAACCTAATTACGAAGCATGATTCTTCGCCAAGTAGGATTACGAAGCACCAGAAGCAGCCACGTAGGCTCAGTGCATTCGGGAATATATAAGGGAGGATTAAAGGCGTTTCAGCCCGTCGAAAGCAATATAAAACTGTACAGGGTGGGTCCAACCTCCACGATGACACTTCAGTCGATCGATTAATGAAATTCTTATAACAAGGCGATCTTTGCAAAAAAATACTTTAGATGTTCGGCGATCTTTTCCTTACAACAAGATAGTCTCAGGAAATATGTGGGCAAAGGTCTCTTCAAAAAGACACGCTCTATAAAATATTCTCGGTCGACTTTCATTCAACAATAGTAATCTCATATTAAGCGTTCACTCTTGAATATCTATTTTGTCATCAAAAGAGCTTACGAAGAATCAAAGGCGAGACCTTACATACAAATGGCGAAATATTAACGACCTTATAAAGTGATGACGACCACCCATGAACCATATCAACATGCCTTGGCAGTCAATATAAGTCGATTGTCACTGAAGGAACGGAACAACCAAATTAAGGCCACTACAAGGAGTGTATTCAATTAATTCGGAGTATTTTCTCATCCGATCGCTACATTGTAATAGTCACAAATGTCCTTATAGTCCACTCTTTGGCATTTGCAGTTAATGATTCTTTTATCTTCCTTCCCAGAGAAATTTTAAAATTACTCGCCTGTGTCCATGCAACAGTATGATGATGATTCTTAAGACTCACATTACTCATGGCGATCTCTATTTGACGATCTCTTAAACTTAATCACTAGATGCAATTTATGTTGCAACACTCTCGGCGATCCTTTTTCCCAATATATCCTAAGACATTTATGGTGGATCTTGAACAAACGATCCATCCCCATACCGCAGGACGACTTGACCATCACTAATCCAAGGTTGTCCACGTGAGACCTGGCCAATATGAGAATCAAAGAGTCTATATATGTCGGGGATTGTCCTAGTGTTGTTTTGTAGATTGATCTGGTTGGTGATTCGGGACGAGACAATTTAGCCGAAAACTTTTGGGTGACTGATTTATCTTGGCACAACACGTCCAGTAGTTGATGTAACATGATCTCCAACTTACGGAATAAAATTGATCTGTTTAATTATGTTTTGGTCTCTGCTTGTTCCATTATATTTCTCACTCATAGTGTAGTTTCTTGTGAGCTATGTTATACAGGAAATTATGTAGTAAGATAAAAAAAAAAAAAACAGTTCTCCCAGCAATTGATGTAACAGAGTAACAACTTGTGTAGGTTGTTGTGAGCTTGTCATATACTACATGCTTTCCTTGTAATTTTTTATCTAGTCGAGCTCGAGATATTGTAATTTTATTATCGAGCCGAGCTCAAGCAATTGTAATTTTTTATCGAGTCGAACTCGAGCCTCAAAAATCGTGCTCGACGAGCTCAAGCAGCTAAAAAAAAGAAAAACAAAAACTCAATCCTGCTCGATAAGGCCAATGCTCGACTCGACTCGGCTCGTTTGCAGCCCTAGTTGTGAGCTTGTCATATACTACATGCTTTCTCTTTCATATATCATTAAGTAAAGGAAAAAGGAAAAGCAGACAAGCAGAATGATTGTGGGCAAACCAAGAGCACAGCTCTTTTTGAACAAACCAATACAACAGCTTTTTTTTGAACTAAGAGATCAGCTTTTTTTTAGCAAAAAATAAAATAAAATAATCATTGGGCCACAAACAGTATTTCCTAATTTTTCCTATCCCTTTTAGCAATTTGTGTTGCATCACATTCACACACTTCACACACTAGTTCACTCTCCTTCTAAACATGAAAACAAAGGACAAAATGGGAAAAAAATTCCAAAAAAGGGAATCCTTATTTTGACCTTTCTCTGTTACCAATAATCTGTGTTCTTGACAAACAAAGAATCTTCAGCTTGCAAAACCCACTTGGCAGTCTCTGCTGTAGCCAGTGATTCAGATTACATTCTGCAACAACACTATTCAGTTGTTAAATCTTAAATGAGCCTACAACTTTGTGAAAGAAAAAAGCCGTGTAAACGGGCAGCATAACCAGTAGTACCTCAACTCGAAAGTCGAAAACAGGACTGCTCAGTGGGATTTCACAAATCTCAAAAGAATTTCAAGGCTTCGAAATGAAATGTAACGAGTTAGGACGAAAATAACGGTTTGCGTGTATGTATCACAAGCCTCTGTCGTGTGAAGTTAGCGGTCCAAATCATAAATATCTACATCTGTTCAAAGATATGGGGAAGAAAAATTAGACAAAAGACGGGCATGCGGTAGAAAGTAACAAAGAAAAGGACTCGGTTACCTTTCTCAGTGAATGGGGAAAGAGAACTCCCCATCGTTCTTCAGGTTGAGTTTCGTTAAACCAATTACCATGCTGAAAAAAAAAAGAAGGGATATGTTCAGAGCAACATATAAATGTATGGTTTAATCTTTTGAAAGCCAACATATGTAATCACATTCTTTTAAATACGAAGGAAAACCGATAATAAAAGGGTTGTATAGAGGTAACATGTTGTTAACAATCAGTTAACAGCAAAATAACGGTGAGTTCAAATGGAAACCGAAAAACGTCCTTTCTTGATTCTTTGAAAGAGAGAGCATTGTGTTGTACCTTCTTTAAAAGAAGCATAGTTCAGTATAAGCATGTGAGTAAGGCAACAGCTCGTCGACCTCAATCCTTGACCCGGAGCAGCTCATACTTTTTCTCAACCTGTTGGGGGCCGACTCTATTTCGGCCCAAAACACACTAGAAACTGGTCTATGATCCGAAAACCTACATTCCCCACGGATGTACGATAACTGCTGTAGCCCATTCCCGTACCACAAAATTCTATCACACCTACGTATATATAAGAAGAATTAGCGAGCTCAGCACATAATATATATAAGTTTAAAAATACAAGGTTGTGGGCTCACCATGCAGGCGTTCTTCGTTTCTCTTTCGGATGCATATCATCACCTGCATATCTGTCTGAGTTGTGCGAATATTTATAAGTGGGAGGGAAATAGATTTTCCCTTCTTTCCATCCATCGAAAACCCGGCCACGCCTCTGCTCTATCCGCAGCTGCTCACGATAGAGACAACATATTTTTATTAGTATAAAAAAAAATGAGAGGCCAATCAAAGTTGCAATATTTGATCAGATAGTTAGATTGCCATACTTGGTCCTTTTCGAGTAATTGTCTCCAGTTTTGCATTTCAATGAGTGCTTTGGCCGAGCGGTAGGGCAGAGCTATTCGATAATTCAAATCCCCAAGCCAAATAATGCGACTGCAGCCAAATGTTATCAAAAGTGAAGAAGCAGTTAGTGTAGCAGTAACTGATAACGAATTAAACAAAAAACCAAAAATGTTTCAGGATTACAAGTATTTCATGAGGTTTGATTCTGGGTTACATTTTTGTCAATCATAAGGAAACATATTGTTCATAGAAATATGACTGCTACGCCTCTTAGAATAAGAGTGAGCAGACCCTATGGGGAGCTCTGTCTAGTTATTAACACTGGTCGGTAAAATATCCAAACTTCAGGAGTAGCTTTTGTCAATGCCCCAAAATTAAATCTAAAATTCAACTTGAAACAGGGGCTTTCTTACTCATGCTCGAGAATCGTCTCCGGCGATTTCTCACTACTGCTGCTGTTAACTCGTGGGAATCTCGTCTTCCTTAGGATCTCGATAAAATCGGCATTCCTACGTAGCTCATCACCTTCCTTCTGACCAGAAGTTAAGTGAGTGCACACAAAACAAAGACTGGTCTGATGCAATACCATGCTTATCGAAATGGATCCCTGAAATTCAGAAAAGAAAAATAAAAATAAAAATAAAGCATTCTTTGTCTTAGCACTTTCCATTGTAAATAGTTTCAGGAAACCCACAATTACTAACAAAGGGACAAAAATATTCATCCAACATAATCAAAAGACTAACCTTATTGCCAAGGTAGCCCATGAGCCCTCTACCGACGCACGAGACCTTTATGTTTTTCACGTGCTCCGTCAACTCATTCCGGACCCAAACCGTGAGAAATATCCCGACCATCTGCTTACGCGCGACCAGCGAGTACCCTGAGTGCCCACCGGCTCCAAAGAAACCTGACCCGTCCTCCCCAGGCGAGTACAATACCGTGCTGGGCGACCAGTCTCCAGGGGGACAGTAGTACTCCTCTTCCGAGCCCCATCTCGAGAAGTCACTTGTCCTCTGGCCCCATGAGCAGTCGCTCGGTCTCCGGCTTGACGAGTAGTCGCTCGTGCGTGGCCCAGATGAGTAGTCACTTGCACGGGCTGCAGATGAGCAGTCGCTGGGCCTGTAGTGGGAGCCCGACCTTGAGCCCGATTCTGCATCGCTGGGCCTACGGCCGAACATGACCCGGTCGCACACACTGAACCGCCTTTCAAGCCGTGGCTGATGTGGTGCAGAAAGATCGTTTTCCACTCGCCAGTGCTGTGGGGTCTGAAACGAGCGACGGGGAATGAAGGTCGTGGCTTTACGGTTCGTGGGGCCCGCAAAGTCCGCATCCCACTCAGCAACTGGGTTCGGAATGGGAGACGGGGTGTAGCGGCCGCTGGTCCCACTAGTGCCCGAGGCATTGTTTAGCGTCCTCTTAATTAGGGAGAGCCATTTTTTTGCGGGCCCATTGTCCTCGGCCACCAGGATGTTACCAGCATTCAGAGGAACGATTTCTTGAAATCTATAAACCATTTTTAAATTGAAAAAGAAAATAAAAAAGATATATATGAGAGTCGATGAAGTTGGATATTGTGTGGAAAAATTGAGAGTAGGGCTGCAAACGAGTCGAGCATGGAACTTGTCGAGCGTAGGTCGATTTTTTTTTTTTTTTCTCGAGCTCGACGAGCCATGAAAATGACACTCGAGCCCGACTCTTGAAACAAATGGAAAAGAATCGAGATCGACTCGATGCTCGAGATTGGTTCAATACTTAAAATCCACTCAAGTTCGACTTGAAATTTAACAACTACAAGTTACGAACATGTGACAATTTTGTGAATTACATATATATAAACGGTATTTAAGTATTTTACCACATATTTCGAGCCGCTCGACAAGCGGCTCGACCTTTGAAAAATTGGGATCAAGATTGACTCGATAACATACTCGAGCTCGACTCAAGTTCGGTCAAACTCGACTAGTTTGTAGCCCTAATTGGGAGCAGTTTAGATAAAACATACCCGAGCACATATATGTCTGCAGGGGGTGCAGAGTGTAGCCAGTCATCTAGCTTCATATTGGCCGACGGTGATTTTCCTCCCACGTTCCATGTTGATACAAAGAGGCTGCGTAAAATTCAAATAGGATAAAAATTTTTTGAGCAAATTTGTTCAATGGTGAAGAATGAACATTTAATAAATTAGTTGCAACTAACTACCAAAGAGAACAAACCTATAATTTTGTATATTTATAATCTGAGGGTGATCGAGGTAAGCCCGGCCCCGTCTCGAACGAGAACGTGATCGGGAAAAAGAACGCTCCATGTTCTTTGCTGGTTTTTCTGCAAATTTAATGTATATCTTATCAATACCATCAATATTAGTAATGGATCTCAAAATAACAAGACTACTTCTAAATTGCATTATAATATTTATGCCACAGTTTCATAATAATATGATTTTAATTGATTATGCTAACCTGTTCTGATTTTCTTGACCGTAGATGGTTCTCTCTCAGAGCTGTTTCTCCATTCCATATCACCACCTAAAAACAGAATAAAAGACGACTGTTTGAAATTTTGATGCTTAAACTGACCGTTAAAAAAAATTGAATTAGATTAATTTTATCAGTTTCCCCTAGTCAACCATACAGTATAAACAAAAACCAGCTCTACCAAAAAGGGCTAAAATTTTCAAATTTGAATTAACAAATGGGAAATGCTACCGTCCCATTACGAAATCATCCCGTCGGGATTTATAACCTTTAGATCATCATGTAACCGTCGGGGATAGTTGATCTAAAAGTTACAAATCCCGACGGAATGGTACCGTAACGGGTCCGTAGAATCTCCCTTAGCAAATATTTAGTCAAAACGGAATAGGGAAACAGGAGCTAATATTTGATTCATTGTGAATTAAAAGACAAAGAACGTGAAAGACAAAGCAATCGAGTTTAGAATTAAAAAAAAAAAAAAAAAAA